CAGTATATCGCTTAATTCTAAAAATAGTTTGCAGGCAAATTTTGGTATTACTTTTTTTGATGATTCTGGCACACACACAAACACAGAGGGAACAAAACGTTTAAACTTTAATTCTTATAAACTAGATAAAATCATGAAATCGTCGATATATTTTATGTTTCTGATTTTCTTTTAGTTTTAGTTCTTTTTGTTATCACCCAAATTGAGCGGCGAGACATGCTACAACTTGGCTCGCTTGGCCACGCCCACAGACTCGAGGACACCGCAACTCTCCAAGTGCTGGAAGAGCGTCTCCAAATACTCATCACGATGCTTGATCAAATGGGCCGCATGCTGTGAGCGTTGCCAGCACTTGAAAGTCACCTTTATGTTGGCGCGCTCCCAGTTCTCGCGCACAGCCTGATTGGAGGAGGGCGGACCGATCGGATCATTCTCGGAGACAAAGAACAGCGCCGGTGCCTTGAGTAGCGTCGAGTGGAACATCTGGCTGGAGCGCATATAATGTATGGTGGCCTGGTTATGGAATGTCTTCAAATGGTACAGGGTATAGTTGCGCAGGGCGCTCTGCATGCGCTCGTTCTTTGGGAATATCGACTTGGGCACGCCCACAGGGATTTCGGTAATGTCTGCGGCACTGTCCCAGATCTGGCAGACGAAACGATCCAATATGCTGCTATATCGATCCATATCACGCGACATTTGCAACATTATTTCGCCCATTTGATATGCACCCACCGAGAAGCCGTGCATTACAATCGGCGCATACGATTTATTGTTCTCCAGAAATTTTATCGTTTCAGCCGCGACCACCTGAAACAACAAATGGATATTGAGTTTATGGCATGGCATGACAGGTATCTACTACTACTACTATATATACCTGAGTACCCTTGGCCGGCCAGAGCAGCTGCCAGGGAGTAATATGCACCACCATCACATCAAAGCCCATTTCCGTGTAGATTTGCGCATATTTCTTCAAATGCTTCTGCTTGGCCATCAGCCAGGCCATCATTAGCACCAGCGGATTTCCAGTGGGCTTTTTGAAGGCCAGCGTCTTGGGATCCACCTCGATGTTCGCCTTGTTGTTCGTATAGAGCGTCATATTTTTGGTAATATCCTTGGAGGACAAATACCGACGGTTCTTCAACGGGGCCATGGCGCTCTGTGAAAGGGGAAAATGGGTACTCCAGATTAGTTTTACTCTCGTTTATATAATAAACATAATATATTAAATGCTATTATAATTAAGCACTCACAAAACGGCGAAATCTTTTTAGCTTTTCAGAGATCTTTAATTTGATTTGTATGCGGAAAATGAAGCTTTAGCATTTCATTGGAAATCCGATTTATAAAATGAAATAATATATGTCAGCTATAAGACATTTCACATATTTTCCTGTCTGCGAAAAAGAAGTGAAAAGCCTTTGGCATTTCAACGTGAATTGAAACGGTTTCCGTGACTTGTTATAAAAAAACTTTCGGATAGGTCGAGTTGATGCTATCTGCGCGATTAGATAGGCTGGACATTGGCTGGCGGCGGGACGGTATCAGAATTGGCAACTTGATTAGCTCTAACCGATTAGATACTACTAAAACCAAAAAAAAAAAAAAATCAAGTCTAGGATTATTTGTATTCATGCCATGCAAATTAGCAAATGATGATATAAATAAGAATTTATAGCACTCCCCGGCGGGATTAGTTAGCACAGACATTTGACCTTCAGTGTTTGCCAATAAAATGTGAGTAAATCAAGCAACGATTGGATTGATAAGATAAGGCTGATTAAATGCATGTTAGTGCTAAGTTTGTGTTAGACAGGGATTCCTAATCGGTTGAACCAGACAACTTTGTTTGTGATTTATTACCAGGAATTATTTATAGCACTTATAGTTCAAATGGATATAAAGTATTGGCACTGTTGCGGCGCTGGCTGGAGTAATTTGACTTGACTTTCAGTCACACGCGTTTGGAGCAGACTAAAATATTTTTATACTTTTTTTTTAATATTCTGCATAGTATGGCTTAATCCAATCTATCGATAAGACTGTTGCAATTTAGATAAGCAGCATACAAAGTTGTTGTAGGTGCGAATTTAAACAGTTATCAGTCTTCTAATAGATTACCGACTTTCGAGCACAAGGCAAAATTGGAGAAGAATATGAAGCAGTAGAAAACTCACACGTTTCAGACGCCTATAGATCTTACGTAGTATAATCAATAGGAGGAAAACTAGAACAATTCCAATTATGAATTCCATAATTAGAATTAGTGTATATCCAACACATGTATTTGCAGTTACAAAAGCTTTGGATCGACTGTCGTCTTAAACGAGCTTCAAACATGGTGGGCGAGAGTACACCCGGATTCCAATAGAAATCTGGAAAATGGCATATGTTTCGTGCCAGCGCCCGTGTGTGTGTGTGTGTGCGTATGCTATTCGGGGGATCTGAATTGCCATTGCGGCGGATTGAATTACATTGCGGCATTGGAAGCGGACTCAATCCACACCCCCACCCCCACCCCACCGCCGTTTGCGTGAGGGAGAGAGCGAGAGCACGACGATCGCTTGAGCTTGGGCCGAAAGCTTGACATTGAGCGCCATTATGATTTATCAGCGCAAAAGTCGCCCCAATTGAGTAAGTGCAAATGTCGGACGACAGGGGTCGCTTTGCATAGGTGCAGCCAAAAAGAAACTTAAGGGTTAAAGGCCAGTCAACTGAAGCGTCTATAATCATTTGTTGTTGAAGTCAAGCGGTAAATGAGTACGAACTAATTGCATATATTTAAAATTAATTATTTGTTATTATTCATATATGTATGTATTTATGTATGTCTGTTTGCGATTCGCCGGCAAATCAGTTAAATGAAAAAGTTAAATCGCTTCACGCCGGGAGCAAAGTGCACAAGATTATCATCACAGCTCATTGAGCGAAGCGGTGTGGCTTAACGTTCACGCTAATGATCGTAACGTAATGTATATATATGTTGTATACGTTATGTTGTGGCAGGTGCCACTAATGTTAAAGCATGTCTGGAATGTAATCAGTATGTTATGTGCGCTGTGCAAAAATGTTGTGGCAGGTGCTGTTAACGTTAAAGCAAATGTGCTAATGACAAGCGAACTGCAAGTGTTTTGAACTGTAAACATTATGTTAACGCGTCGTCCAACTGTTGGGGAAGGTTCTGATAATGTTAAAGAATGCGACTACATTTACAGTACGTGAGTGGCGTATGGGAATGTAAACAATGTAACGTATTCGCTACGTCATGAACGTTATGGTATTTGCTAATTGTACCGTTAGTTTTGCACTAGAATACAACTGCTAATGTTAATCAATAGCAGCGCACGAACTGCAAATTGTAAATTGAATTAAATAAACATAAATAAATTAAATTGATTGGCTAACAATTAAACCAACGCGTAACCAAACAATTGCCCAATTTCACATACGCACATTTCTTACATATTAATATATTCCTAAAACCTTAAAAATAATTGTATATAAACAAATTTGCATATTTAAATATATGTATATATATATAATTAGCTTACATGACCCACCAGTTGCGTTTGCAGGCTTGAAAAATTGCGAGCGATCGGCTTTTGCATGCCCTGGCGGCAGTCGGCCAGCGGTCCCTGCAATAGGCCCTTGTCCTTGCCGGCGATCGGGAGTCCGCCGGAGATGCCAAAGAATCTATCCGCATAGACGTTCTCATACGGCACGCCGGACGCACAATTATTCTGTGCTGTTAATTGTGGATTTTGTTGTTGTTGTGGATGACATCAGGAGAGAGACATACAATATACGCTTTTATATATAAATAAATATATATATAATATAATCTTTGAGCATTTACCACCAAAGGAGAGGCCCACGGCAAGTGTTGCGGCCGTGCGGCCGGCGGCAAACGGTAGATTTATTGATTTTTTCGCTGCAGTTGCGTAAAATGCAGTGCGAAAGAAATGCGAAGCCATTGTTGCAACGTATTTTGTTTATTGAGAGAACGTGAGGAGCTTTGAAAAAAGAAAAGCGTTTGACAATAACATTTTATAATTTCTTTCTCGTTTTATCATTCTGCATGCATCTACGCACCCACACACCTACAGGCACACACAAGCTAGCTTACACACAAATACACATATAGCAGACGCACACTTAAGCAAAAATCGCTGCACAAAAAAATGAACTTTGGACCTGCCTGTCGGATGCAGACGAGTTTAATTTAAATTAAATTGATACATCTCTCTTTCTATATATATTCATATTCAAATATATGCTTGTACGATATCTTAGATACGTATGCGTGTGAGTGCGTATGTGTGTGGGAATGATAGATGCTCTGTGGAGTTTAATGAAGTATAATATAGCACAAATGAAGAGTACTTACGCGTTTCAATCGTTTCGGCCAACACTTGCACAATTGTTTACCTTCCCCCGAATGCACACAGAACTTGTCTGGCAACTTAAACAAAAATGAATTGCGCCGCCCGAGTGCGTCTTTGTTGTTCGAAAACAACAAACACTGTGTGTCTGCAATGCGCAGTACGAGAATACCAAAATGATTCCCTATCGATATATTGGGTAAACATGTAATCGATCGTGTAGCATATTTGTTGCTACATTCAAATAACGGTAATGTTTTATTGCTGTGCGAAGGTATTTCTACTTAAATAGTTTAGTAAATATGGTTCAATATTTCTAAGATATGTTTGAGCTGAACTAATAAATCGTATATGGAACTGTATGTATTATTAATTATATATTAATTGCAGCTTATTGTCCTTAGCCTTAAATACAATTAGCTTAATACCTTTACTGCAATTAAGCTTATAAATTTGTCATTTAGTTTATGCCTGTCCTGGCAAACAATCCTAATAGCTTAAACCGTTCAATTACGATATAAAATATCTAGTGTCATTCCGCTATAAAGCTTAAAAGTAATCGATAGCTTACACTTATCGCAAATTCATAGCTACATCATTTAAATACTCGTAGTTTATTTAAATACTCGTAGTTAATTTGATAACTGCAATTTAGATGGAGCAAATATGTCCTGGCCCTGCAAATTGGCTGTTGCCCTGCAACATTTTAGTGCCAGCCTACCTGTACCTGCTGTCACAACCAACAGCAGCAGCAGCAGCAGTTGCACCAGCGCCTGCACTTGTAAATGCAAATGTTGTAGCGGTCTTATCCAGAAATACGTAAATTTTGACGAGGAGGCAACTTCAATCGGCGGTCCAGTGCAGAAGATGGTGCGTTTCAGCACTATGGACATGATGCGTCTTCTGCGCATTGCTCAATCCTGCGAGAATTTTTGGAGCAATCAATACTATAAAGTGGATTTGCTATCGGATTACAAAGCGTTGGGCGCTGCTTTTGGAGCGCAGCCAAACACCGTGAATGTTGCACAATTAGAGCAGATCATGGACACCATAACGTCAGGCTATCGTCGCGCCTTGGCCAAGCTAAGCGACAGCGAATCGCGTACTGCCCTAAGGCCAACGGGAGCTGCTCCCCCTTTGCCAGGCTTGCGCTGCGGCTGCGAGGATTGCACGCAACTGCCCTGGCACAGACTGCAGCAGCTGGAAGCGCATCAATGGCAGCACAAATTTAAAGATAACTGGCATTGTCGTTTATGCTATCGACGCTACTTTCTGCAGCACACGCTGCTCTCGCATAGGAGCAGAAGAGTGAAACGAGGCGAGGCGGGCACATTGTTGGAGAACGAGTCGTATAAGCTAATGCTGATGGAGCAGCAGCAACGAGAAGTGTCGGAGAGTCAGCAGCAGTCTGTTCTGCATGTTTCCATGCTCAGCGACAACCAATCTGATTTCAGACAGGAACCGAAGCCACAATTGCCGAAGTCGTCTCGCAAGCGACTCTTTCTCGCCGCCTGCCCACAATGCAACCGAAGTTACCTACACAGCTACAGTCATCAGCTGCACACAAGGAAACACCATGTGATGCCTCACTCCAGCCGGCGCTGGTACTGCTCCAGTTGCACTCGTAGCTTTCTCAGTCGTCGCACTTGCTTGCAGCATCTGCGGCGCGTTCGCAAGGCGTGTCGCCTGCGCCTGCGTAGATTCAAGTGCTCCAGCTGCAGGTGGCGCTTCCAGCTGGAGCGTTCGCTGCGTGCGCATGTGGCTTTGGCACATAAGCGTAACTTTAGTTGCCTCATCTGTAAATTGCCCTCGCAGTGTCGCTGCTGCGACAAGCACAGCCCAGAAGAAGCCCGGGCGGCGAATCGTGCACGGATGCAAAGGCGTCGACTGGAGCTGGGCCTTTCCCCACAACCCGATCCCAAGCCAGCGACTAAAGTGGCTTGTGACATGTGCCAAAGGGAATTCCAGAACAGTTTCCTACTCAATATCCACGTCAAGCGGATTCATCTCAAGCAGAAGGATTTCATCTGCGAGACATGCGGCAGGGGCTTCTACTGCAAAAAGGAGGTCTACGAGCACGTTAGGAAGGTCCACCTGAAGCATGATTCTGTTTACTGTGAGCCCTGCGGCATCACCATCAAGGAGAAGAGCAACTATATGCGCCACTGCGACAGCATACGCCACGTCGAGATGCTCGCCAAGCTGGCCAGGCTGCAAGGCGAATTGCCCGCCGATGCGCCGCTCCAAAAGCATGTGCCCAAGGGCCCGCTACATCACTGTGAGTGCTGCGATCGAACCATCAAGGGCCATGCCGCATTTAGAAATCATTGTGAAACCAAATTCCATAAAAGGAATTTGGAAAGGAAACAAGAGAAAGTTGAGGGCTTGAATGAGGCTTAGAACATACATCAGGGAATCATGTAAATATATCTGTTAAGTATATATGTATGTATATAGTGAACCAAAGTAAATAATGGCTATTAATGATCTAAACTCCTGTTATATCTTATTTTGATTTACTATTCAAAATATATTGTAATATTATTGTTTATAAAAAAAAACTATACACTTAAATGTTCGTTATTAAATATGTAGATTTAACTTTATTGCTTAATAGGAAATAAAACAAAACATGTTTAGGACTAAGTATTGTGCCAGCTACTGCGCCAATTTGGCATCCAATTGAGCGATGTCGACGCCCAGTTCACGCAGACGCTGCTCCTGCTCTTTGGTATCTAGGCCATGCTCTTTGTTGTATCTATAGTTCACGGTGAGCTGCACCTCTTCCAAGCCACTGACATGATCATAGAGATTGCCCTCTAGACGCAGATCAATGTCGCTCTCCTCACGTAGACAACAAAAGTAGATTAAGAATATGGCCAGGCTGGCAGAGATGACGTAAGGCTGATACCACAGGGATTCATCGCTGCCACCGCTGCGGGTGTCACGTGCACGCCAGGTAGCCGCATGGCTGCCAAAGAACTTAATGGGATCATTGCTAATCCTCAGCTCCTCGTCCTTGGAGCTAATACTGCTGCTACTGTCAGTTGGCACCTTTTGAGCGTAGCCACGCATGCCTGCAGCAGGCATAAAGGACCTATACAATAGACAATATATTGACACCCGATATTTAATGAGTTTGTTATATATTCTTATACCTGGCTAGACGAGTTCTTGTCAACAATCGCAGCATCTTGATGGCAACTAACGAAATGTCATAACAATTTAAACAGCTGTTTGCCGGCCATCCATTATCGAAACCTATCGATATTTTACATAAACGTTTTCACACCGGCAAATAATTAGGGATGGGTGATACATGGAATATTCACATCGCATTCACCCGCACACGTGTTGTTTTGAGTGTAAACTGTAAACACGCGCATGAAAATGGGCGCAACTAAAAATTTGGATCTTATCGGCACCATTGAAGATGATGCCGAGGTTGAAAATCTATCCGAAGACTCGGATGCTGAAGTCGAAGTAGGTATTTAGTTGAAGAAGGGAATCCACAGGTGTTAATCTACCTCTTACTTGGCAGTATCAACCTACCAAGCTACGGCATAAAAAGGTGACCGAATTCGAGAAGGGCTTTGAGTTCGTTTCGTCGGTTAAGGAATATAATCAGGACACATGGGATGATCTGATGAAATATGTGAAGCGCAAGGCGCGCACAAAGACAGACGATAAGATTGCAGTTCGCCTGCAGAAGCGAGGCGGCGCCGAGGCTGTGGCCGCCGAGCAGAGCGATGAGGAAATTGCGCTGTCCGAGGATGAGCTGAAGCACGATAATTTGCGAATTCGTGAAAAGAAGCAAAGTAAGAACAAGAAGAAGAAATCAGCAGTGGATGCGGAGGAGGAGGACGAAGGCGAGAAAATGCAATTCGATGATACTGTGGAGTCCAATGAGACGATTACATCGTTCTATCAAATGAATCTATCGCGGCCGCTCATGCGCGCCATCGGCGTGCTGGGCTACATCTATCCCACGCCCATTCAAGCCTCTACCATACCTGTGGCCCTGCTGGGCCGCGACATTTGCGGCTGCGCGGCCACCGGCACAGGCAAAACGGCCGCCTACATGCTGCCCACTGTGGAGCGTCTGCTCTACCGACCGCTGAACAATAAGGCCATCACACGCGTCCTGGTGCTGGTGCCCACACGTGAGCTGGGCGCCCAAGTCTACCAGGTGACCAAACAGCTCTGCCAGTTCACCAGCATTGAAGTGGGCCTGGCCATCGGCGGTCTGGATGTTAAGGCCCAGGAGAGTGTGCTGCGTCAGAATCCGGATATCGTAATTGCCACACCGGGCCGTCTGATCGATCACATTAAGAATACGCCAAGTTTCACGCTGGATTCCATTGAGGTGAGCATCATGAATAAGAGGTAGAGAGATAGATAATATAGAGATAAAGATGATGAATTACAATCCTTGCGCTCCGAGCTCTTTGGAGCTATGCGGATAAGATTTTGGTACTTGTGGCTGCGCTGCAGTTGCAAGCTGATTGGTGTTGATTAGAAATCAGGAATATACGCAAAAAAAACTGGTAGTTGAAAGCGGAAATATATTTTCATTCCAGGTGCTCATTCTGGATGAAGCCGATCGCATGCTTGACGAGTACTTTGCGGAGCAAATGAAGGAGATTATCAATTCCTGCTGCAAGACGCGTCAGACGATGCTCTTCTCGGCCACGATGAGTGAGCAGGTCAAAGATCTGGCCGCCGTCTCGCTGGACAAGCCCGTCAAGGTCTTCGTCAATAACAATCAACAGGTCGCGTTCAATTTGAGGCAGGAGTTCATACGCATACGCGAGGACAAAGAGGGCGATCGTGAGCCCATCTTGGCCAGCTTGATTTGCCGCACCTTTCACGATCATTGCATGGTCTTTGTTCAGACCAAGAAGCAGGCGCATCGGCTACACATCCTCCTCGGACTGCTGGGCGTGCGAGCCGGCGAGCTCCATGGCAATTTGACGCAGCAGCAGCGTTTGGAATCGCTTAAGAAATTCAAAGAGGAACAAATCGATGTGCTCATTGCCACCGATGTGGCGGCACGTGGTCTGGACATTGTGGGCGTCAAGACAGTCATCAACTTTGTGATGCCCATCACCACGGAGCACTACATCCATCGAGTGGGTCGTACGGCTCGTGCAGGGCGGGCGGGTATCTCTGTATCCCTGGCTGGAGAGAAGGAGCGCAAGATCGTTAAGGACATTATCAAGAATGCCGAGAGTAGCGTGAAGAATCGCATAATACCGCCAGAGATCATTGAGAAGTATCGTAACAAGCTGACGGCGCTGGAACCCGAAATACGTAAGATGAAATTTCCAATGACAATTTGAAGATCTATAAAGTTTCTATTTGAATTCTCTGCAGAGAACATACTGGATGAGGAGCAGGCAGAACGTCAGCTGGCCAAAACGGAGCAGCAGCTGTCCAAAACGGAACGCAAGTTGCTGGGACAGCCGAGCGAGAGGCGCACCTGGTTCCAGACCAAACAGCAGCGAGAGAATGAAAAAGCTCGTCTAGCTCTTACAAACGATGACGAGGCGCAACCAGCAGCAGCAGGCGGATCTAAACGAGGTAAGGGCAAGACAGCCGGCAAACGTAAACGGCCCGAATACGGCGGAGATGGCGAGGATGGTCCGCCTGTTAAGGAGCTGGAAGCCAAGCGGAAAAAAAAGAAGGAGGAGCCCAAAAAGAAGACGCCTGAACAGATGGCCAAGGAGCGCGCTATGAGGGAAATTGAAAAGGTTTCACTGGTGCGCGCCAAAATGGCCAAGCTACGGAAACGACCTGGTAAATTGGGTGCAGCCACAGAGACCAGCAAATATGCCAGCCCAGCCGGTGGCAAACCCAAGCGACGAGGTGTACAATCTGCCTTTACCAATGATTTAACTGATGTCAGTCGGGGCGGCGCGCTTCGTTTAAGGTAGTGCAATCTGATAATGATAAAAGCTTATAGTAATTAACAATAATCTTTCCCCATTTTAAAACAGATCCGAGGCTAACCGACACAAGAAGATGACGAAAATTGCTGCCAAGAAGAAAACGAGCAACGTCAAACTAACAAATAAGGCGGGTAAAAATAAATTCAACAAGGGCAAGAATTTTGGTGGGCCGCGATTTGCCAAAAAGGGCAACAAGAAATAATCATATGTGTAAAATATGCTACTATTAATAAAAATAATGAATATTTTAAAATTATGTGCTAAATTCGAATGGGCAAAAAACGATATCGATATATGACCGGCTTTTCAACTTAGTCTTTGCTGGTCAAATTAAATTCGAAAAGGATAATTACTTTGGTGGACTGCGATTTGCCAAATAATCATAATATACCATAAAATAGTTAAGAACATTTGAAATTTAAGCGTTGAATTGTAATGGACAACAACGATGTTGATATTGCTATCGATATTTAATTTAAATAAGCTTGTAGAAGCTAAGCTCCACTGGTGGCTCTACAGTGTGACCAGCTTTGGTTTTGGAAACACGCTTTATTCTCATTTTCACCATTGGCCACATTACGTTTCAAGCTTTGCCATTTTGTTTAGTTCTTTGCTTTTCGCAACGCAATTTTTTAATAGATTTATTTGGAATGCTCTGAGAAAGTTGCATTGGACGTGTTTGACTAAAGAAACAAAATGACCGAAACACTTACTTATGGCCCGCCGCTAGACACGGATGACTCGGATTGCAGCAGCTATGATGGCTTCTACTTTGCCGAACCTGTAAGCAAATTCTGGTTGGCTTCGGCACATTTAGTCTAACATAAACAAACTTTTGCTTAGCTGAAACGCGAGAAACGTGCTCCATGCGTGCCACCACAACAACTGTTGTATGAAGCACTGATGGAGGGAAACTTGCAACTTATGCGCGAACACATCGATGCGCTGAAGTTTCCTGTGGATGGCATCTTGCCTGGAGGACTTACAATGCTGATGAGTGCCTGTCGTGAGGGTCACTACGAGGTGGCCGAGTATTTGGTCAACGAGCTCGGAGCGAATGTTAACAAGCACGTTGACTCTAAGATGCCGCTCATGTTTGCCTGCGACTGCTATGCAAATGATGCGCATGTGGCCGAGCAGTTGGTGCGCCTGTTGCTTAGCAAGCGCGCCGTCATCAATGTGTCGGATAAGTATGGCATCACTCCATTCATGCTCGCTTGTCGCCGGGGCTACACTAACGTTGTGCGCCTGCTCATCGACGAGATCAGCTTTGATGCCACAGACAATCAAGGCTGTACGCCCATTTTTCATGCCATTGAGAATAACCACAGAGATATAGTCAAGATACTGGTGGATGCTGGTATAAATACCAATCTGGCTAACAACAAGGGATATACACCAAAACAGGTAGCCGAATTCCATGGCTTCTATGATCTGCTGGAGCTGCTGCCGCCTGATCCGGCCCCCGCGTACATAGTGCCAAACAATTATATCTGCTACAACACGCTGCGGGATCATGTGCCGCGCATTTTTCTGAAAACCGACTGTCCGGAGTATTTTCAAGAGCTAGCCAGCATATTGAAGACTCTGGAAATGTCAAATATGCTGGAGCATTTTGCTAAAGCGCGCATTTCACTCGCCGAATTCCTCATCATGGATGATAAGAGATTGCGCGATATTGGTATTAAATTTCCCATCTATCGGAACAAGATCCTAAAGGGGTTACTAGAGTGAGTGTTAAGTGATCTGCTGGTAACTGCATTTCTTTTATTCTTACAATCCTCTTATTTCACCTTTAGCTTTCATTTGCATCACTGGTCGACGAAATCAATAGCGCGAGTTAAAAAGGACGGCATGGATAAGTAAATAAAGAAGGTTGCCGAAATTATAAAGTGATTGATTGATTTTATATTATTGCAGCTTCTATGAGATTCTCATGATCACCGCCAATCATTTGCAGCATTTGGTGATTATACAAGCGTCGATACGGTACGTCATGCAAAATCAGTTAAATGGAAAACTTGGTCAGCCATCAGAGATGCAACTGTCCAGCTTGCAGAGCAATTTAAGAGCATATCGCGGAGTTCTAGACGATCTTACTAAGACGGTTAAATATGTGAGTTAGTTGCTTGTTGATAAGAAATAATGAGTACACATAATCTCTTTATTTTGCAGCTTGGTTCGTTCAGCCCATCACAAAATCTATTGTACATTGACTACAACGAAGTTCTTGCCGAGCGCAAGCGACGCAAGGTGCGAAGTGTTTTTAAGTATACGACAATTGTTTTGGGTATTTCTGTATTTATTTGCTTCAAATGCAAATGGTTTTTTAAGCTTTAACCAACGAACGACAATATAGTATTAGTAATCATGAATTTCCGTTAATGTTTAAATAGTACAATGCAGTACAAATAATCATATACTAATAATTTCGATAATTCTCGAATCAAAATAGTTGTAGTTACAAATGCTTTATGAACTGTTATATGAAGTTTATGTTTAATGAAAAGTGTTAACGAATTTGTTTAATAAAAGTAAAAACGACAAAAACTAAAAAATTGTGTCTTAAGCCAATTCAACGTACGTTATGTTTTTGGCATTTGCTAGTTATCTAAAAAATACCGAGTTTATATATATGTATATACCAGAATCGATAAATTGATATTTCAACTGCACATCGCTAGTTTGTTTACAATGCGCGTACATTTGGCGCCATGCTGGAGCCTGGAATAATAAAAAAACTAGACGAAGTGGTTGTCAATCGCATAGCCGCTGGGGAAATTATCCAACGTCCAGCCAACGCACTGAAGGAGTTGTTAGAAAATAGCCTGGATGCCAAATCAAGTCATATTCAGGTAAACGTAAAGTCCGGAGGCTTGAAGCTGCTGCAAATCCAGGACAATGGCACTGGCATACGCAAAGAGGATTTGTCCATCGTCTGCGAACGTTTTACCACCTCGAAGCTGAGCAAGTTTGAGGATCTAACAGAAATAGCCACATTCGGTTTCCGGGGCGAAGCTCTGGCCAGCATCAGTCATGTCGCCCATCTGAGCATTCAGACCAAGACGGCAAGCGAGCGTTGCGGCTACAAAGCTACTTATGCGGATGGCAAGCTACTTGCCCCGCCAAAACCCTGTGCTGGGAATCAAGGCACTATCATTACCATTGAGCATTTATTCTACACAATGCCACAGCGTCGGCAGGCGCTCAAATCCCCTGCAGAGGAGTTCCAAAAGATCTCGGATGTGCTAGCCAAGTATGCCGTCCACAATCCACATGTGGGTTTCGTGTTGCGCAAGCAAGGCGACCAGCCAAGCATAAAGACGCAAGCGTGCAGCTCGCGGACAGAGAATATACGGGCTATCTATGGCGCAGCCGTTGCCAAGGAGCTGATGGAATTCAGTCACAAGGATGAGATGTTCAAGTTCGAGCTGGAGTGTCAGCTCACCCAGGTGAATTATTCAGCCAAGAAGTCAACTCTACTGCTGTTCATCAATCATCGGCTGGTTGAGTCCTCAGGTAATTCGGTAGCCATAAGAACTTCGTTCCTTTACTAATCCTCTCGAGCTTATAGCACTTAAAACCGCTTTGGATACTGTTTATGCAACGTATTTGCCACGCGGTCAGCATCCGTTTGTCTACATGAGCCTCATGCTGCCGCCCCAAAATCTTGACGTCAATGTGCATCCCACCAAGCACGAGGTGCACTTTCTCTACCAGGACGAGATAATTGAGCGCATCAAGCAGCAAGTAGAGGCAAAGCTGCTGGGCAGCAATTCCACGCGTAGCTTTTACAAGCAGCTCAAGCTGCCGGGCACTGTGGATCTGGAAGCAACACAACCGCTGGACAAGACGCAGCGCATCTACGAAAAAGATATGGTGCGCACTGATGCCACCGAACAGAAGCTGGAGAAGTTCTTCAAAGCGCTGGAAAAAACGGATTCCGGACTATCCTCCAGCTCAAATGAGACGCAGTCCCAGGAGGAGAGCTTCCGGGTGACGGCCGCTCGCAAGTCCAAGGAGGTGCGCCTCACCAGCGTCCTGAACATGCAGCAGAGCGTGGAGCGCCAGTGCCAGGTGTCATTGCGCAGCATCTTCAAGCAGCTGGTCTACGTGGGCTGTGTGGACGAGCGGCACGCGCTCTTCCAGCACGAGACGCGCCTCTACATGTGCGACACGTTTGCCCTGAGCGAGGAGCTCTACTACCAGCGTTTGATCTACGAGTTCCAGAACTGTCCGGAGGTGCGTGTGGTGCCACCATTACCGCTGCAGCAACTGTTGCTCATTGCGCTGGACAGTCGCGCCGCCGGCTGGGTGCCCGAGGATGGGGACAAAACGGAGCTGGCGGACAACGCAGTGGCCATCCTCCAGGAAATGGCGCCTCTCATGCGGGAATACTTCTCGCTGCGCATCTCGGAGCAGGGCTGCTTGGAGTCGTTGCCAGCTCTGCTGCCCCAACATGTGCCCAGCCGCGCCCAGTTGCCCGTCTATCTGCTGCGCCTGGCCACCGAGGTGGAATGGTCCGAGGAGACGCAGTGCTTCGAGACGTTTTGCCGCGAGACCGCGCGCTATTATGCCCAGCTGGACTGGCAGGACGATGGCGACATGCGCAGCCAGCACTGGTATATGGAGCATGTTCTCTTCCCAGGCTTCAAGAAGTATCTGCTGCCGCCCGCACGCCTCAAGAAGCACCTCTACGAGCTGACCAGCCTGCCCACCTTGTACAAGGTTTTTGAACGTTGTTAAGTTTTTAGATTCCTCTTAATTGGAAGTTTAAAAATCATAATTATGTTACAAATATAATTTTTAAATTTTAAATTAAAATGTATTTATTTCATACATAAATAGTAAGTTTGCATAGCATGAGCTTTTTTTATTTATAATAGGAAATTAGGGTTTTGCTCCTCAATGAGTTAAATTATTTTTTAATTTTTTTTCGGCTCCCATTTTATATTTTTTGTTGTATTGTTCCTTTAATTTATTTTTATATTCAATTTTTGTTTCAATGATAAATCATTTTCAATTTTTTTTTCGTTTAATTTTTATTAACTCCCTTTTTTTGGATTTTACTTTTATATTTTTTTTGTATTTTTCATTTGCATCTTCAACGATAATAAACATATAATTCGATTAAAACATATCCTAACTTGGTAAGCTCAACCAGCCCTGCAACATGAGCGTGTGTATCCGTGTGCACCTCATGGTGTATGTATGTATGTGTAAGTCAGTGTAGGTATGTGTGTAAGCGAATTTGGATGGGCCTGATTGTACGTGTATGTGTGTGTAGTCAACGTGTATGTGCAGTGAAAGGCGTATATGGGTAGTGTTAGGTGTCTTTATCCACATATTCTGCAGCAAGCTTTGTCCTTGTTCAATTCGTCTAGTGTAGAACACAACCAAAAACTACTTAATCCTAAAGGGCGAGGCCAAAGAGTACGAGTTAGCCACTGGGAAAACGATATCCAAGGCGGATCGCAAGTAGTAATGTCACCTTGTCTACGTTTTCCCATTAAAAAAAAAAAAAACAAACAAAAAATAACAAAGACAAAAACAACAATAACAAGAAACAGACACGAACACAAAAACTAAGAAACCCCTAACATTTCAGATAGTAGGTCAGCTCTGGCTGCCGGAAGCGCGTGACCCTCTCTGCATTATCAACGTGTAGCTTCAGTAGCTTCATGATCTCCGTGTCGTATTCCTTGGGCGTCTGCTTGACGCCCGTTGCCCAATAATAGATGTCCCAATCGTTGCTGACCCCATTGATGAGATCGTCGTAGAGCGCCGTCTGCTCGGCATTGAAGTCCTTTAGATATTTGTGCGCAAATGTGCTCAGGAGAAGATCGTTCTCAAGCATTCCACGTTTGCGTGATTGATACATCAAACTGTTATAAAATGCAATCGTTTAACATCTGGCAGTTAGCTTAATATAACACTTACCGTTGCTTGCGCGTCTCTAGCGGCTCATCGGGTCGCTTAGGATACTCGGGCAACGGCAAATCGGGATCTTCGAAGTCCACAATGACGTCATCTTTCGTACTGGTCGATTCGGAGGAGACACATCGCCGGCTGAGCAGCGCAGAGCGTACCATAAGAGAACGACCGCGCTGTTGCCAAAAATAAATGTCAACAAAAAACAAATCCAATGCAAATGCCAATTATGCAACCGAAGTGCATTTTTATTATATGTATGTATGTACTTACAAACAACTGACTCAACATAATCAAACAAAAAAATTTTTAAACTATTTTTCGAAAAATGAAATCACGAACAATTTGGATGTTTGTTGTTTATGACAACGAATCTCAAAACCGAATGATGTTAATTTGTTTATGCTTTAGGTATTAACTTGATTTTGGCGCCGCTTGCTCAGGGTTTTACAATATAACAGGGCTGAACACACGATTTCAAATTCCAGGGCTACGTTAGCTCTTTGCATGCAATAGGTGGCTGTTAGTTATGACAAAAATGTGGGCCGGCTGGAGATATCACAATCGATATACAACTTTGTGAATTTTTGTAGAATTTAATTAAATAATGGTAAAAGGTGCTGTGTCCTAAGTAATATTCACTAACATAACTACTTAAAATGATTTATTTCATTGGCAACACATAAGTTTATATATTCTGGCGTGATTTGCTGCTAATGAAATTCGTCAAGGTGTGACGTCACGGATTATTGCAGCGATTACTCTCAGTGAGTGCTCACACAAAGAGTTACCTTCTGAATTGCTTAGTAAATGAATGCTGTGTTTTTCCTTCAGTCTTCTTACGGTTTTCTGTGCGTGTGGTTCGGAGTGTCGCGCGGTTTTTCGTTCAGAACGCCGACGCAAATATACATAAATACACATACATATGGCAAAATAAATGAAAATTATGTGAAAAATAAATATTTTTATGTATGTACAGGCAACGCTGTGTTTACAATTTGCTTGAGCCTTGTGCCTAATTCATAGTTGGCGTGTATTGGCGTTAAGTGTATTATTTGTGTGTGCGTGTGTTTTCGTGCATGTGCGTATGTATGCGCATATTTGTTATTCGCGCGGCAAAATAGTAATAATAAAAAAACAAACTCAAAACGAGTAAAAAGTAAACAGAAAATATCGCTGCCACAATTTGCGGCACAAAAATGCTGAATATATAAACAAAACAAAGAACATTTTAAGCAATAGCTGCTTTACGCGAGTGCGTTGCGGGTGTGTGTGTGTGTGAGTGAGTGCGCGCTTTGTTTTTGGCTTTATTTTTACGAGTAAGACAACAGCAGCAAAAACACCAGCAACAACAACAACAGTAACAGCAGTCGCCGCAGCAGCAGGCAGCGCAGTAGCGGCAAAATGCCGGCGACAGCGAATTTGTCGTCGTTGTTGTTGTTGCTGTTTTGCGTCGTCGTGGTCGTCGCCGCCGTTGCTGGCAGCAAATCGAAGCAGCAGGAGCAGCAACAGGAGTCCGGCTCCACAGCAGCAAAAACAAAAACGCTGAGTCCCTTGACTGAGAAAGGTAAGCCTTAATTTGTTGTTAATCTCAGCTGCGGTGCATTAACCCGACAGCAGTGACGTCGACGTCACCGTCACTGGCGTCGCTTGAGTAAACATTTGAATGCGCTCTCGCTTACGCTCGACTGTTGTTTGGGTCTCCTTCTCGTTCTTTCGCTCTTCGTTTATGCCAAAAATAGCAAACAGAGCGCTGCGCCTGGCGCTGCCTTCGCGCGCGCCTTTTACACGTTTGTTATGCAAATTCTTGTTGCTCGTTTTTTAAAAATAGCACAAACAAAAAATAGAGAACAATTTGTTTTGTTATTTTGCTGGATTTGCTTGGAATTTTATTACCGCAGCAAGTGAAATGTGGCGAACACGAAATTTTTGCAAAGACAAAACAATAAAAGCTGCTGCAACCGATTTAACCCATTGTTGGCCCGTCCTCTGGCCGCTCCGGCTCTAGCTTCAATTCCCGCAGCGACTGTCAACGGCTGCATTCGGCCATAAACAATTCTATGCGCTGCTCGCATGCCAACGAATCGACAACAAATAAATTTTAATAAATGTGCAAATAAGAAATACATCCAAAGGCAACAATATCAATGTGTGTGTGTGTGAATGTGTATATGGGTCCATATGCATAAATATGTGGAGCGCAATTTCTTGGATGTGGCGACCTCTGGCGAATTGTGGCCGCATTATGCATTCCCATGTTCTAGAACGTCAAAGGCATAAGCAGAAGCAGAAGAGGAGGAGAGGAGACAAAGGCGGCGCTGCTTGAGAGTAGGGAATAAATCAACTAAAAGTCAAGATCGTTCGTTAAATTAGATGAGAGAATCATATATACATATATGAATATATATGTATGTATATATATTATAAATTAAAGTAAGCATTTCCTCATTTGGCGGCGTTAATACAGATGACATCCACACATACATACTTATTTAGATACATTTATGTATGTATTTATATGTATGTATGTGTTTTTTGTCTGTGCACTTAAAGCGGAGACGAATCAATCAAAATGTTCCTTAGGCAACGGCGACAAACGACGTCAACGAGTCCAACTCAAGCATTTTTAGCTAGACATTCAATTAACGATATGAAGATTAAGTCAGGAGGAACAAAAAACAATCTGGTTGGGCGTGCCGTATTTTAAAATTGGGGTTTATGTACCTAAGAATGATTACTGAAGAAGATAATATATTATTGCTATATATAAATACAAATTTGTTATATTATTTTTATAATATATTTTACATTATTAGAATTTATATATAATATTAGAATTTCGAAACAGTTAAGTAAAGATTTATGAATTCTTGAGTAGCCCAAGCTTGGAATCAAGCATTATTAAATATAAATACATTTGCATATTTTATTATTAAGTTTTTTTGTTTGTGGCAAACTAAATATCACAATAAAGAAAACAAATAAATAAAATAAATAAATAAATAAATAAATAAAATAAATAAAATAAATAAAATAAATAAAATAAATAAAATAAATAAAATAAATAA